TTGACTTGATTTGGCGTTTGCTGGCATTACACAGGGCAGACTCTTGTGTCTTGTTCTAACTCAATTCTGGCTTACATAGAGTACCGAAGGGGGATGGAAACGCCTACCGGCTTGAACCTTTTTCTAGTAGGAAAAAGAATGACTTTCTGAACAAGTGGAAAGTCCTGTTCCTAGTTTCATCGATCTTCCAATGTACAATTGTATGTAGTACCTGTGTGTCAGGGTAGATGTTTGACTTCGCACTTCGCGAGCACAGCGTGTGCTCTTTTCCTCCGAGAGTAGCGAAAATAGGGCTAAGGGATGAAATTATCGATGCTTTATCTACAGGCGAACACGAAGGGCCCTAGTGCGAAAACAGTGCTCGCAAACGAGACAAACTAACTGCTATATCTAGCTAAAGGCAAAAAAGTTACATCTACTAACAAATGAGTGGCTTCGCCGAGTAAGGGAATTCATCGTGAAAATGTTACAGCAGAAATATCGCGTATGCAAATCCATTACGCTTGGCTGGTATTACGACACTAATTGTCTTTAGTCCAGGCCTGACGTGCGCCTTCTCAGACGAGCCGCTAACACTCGCATGGGGCACGCATATCGGTCGACCCGTCACAAGGACAGGTGAATCTAGGTTGAATTGCAAATAAGCTCAGTGCTAAATTAGTTAAGAAGAATGCTTTCTTTCACGAACGACTTATAGATTCCTCACCTTAAGACCTTACTAATTTTGGTTAACTTTTCGTAATACTGTGAGATCAACTATTGGGAGCTTGTTTGTCTTCGACCTCATAATATCGTCTGCAAGCAATCCGCTGACCTGTAAACTTCGCCAACGGCTATATATTGTTCCAGTTATTATCCGTCAGATGTAGTCGATATAGGCATGAAATCGTGTCGTGGTATCCATCATGGTGCAACCTTCTTTGTCAACATTGATTTTAGTTTAATACTTTATTGTAGGTAGCAATAAAGGAGGGTAATTTAGTTATTAACAAATTTGCATGTTCTCAAGCAGGTTAAATTAGGAAATTTTCTTGTTCCAAGTTCCAGGCACTACTACCTACCCTGTTCCTCAAAGCAATTGAGAAGAACATACAACAATTTATTAACTGCTGAGTTTGAAGTACATGTTCAAAAGATTTTTGCGTTTCTTCTCAAGGTCCCGTTTCATTTGGTAAATAGCTCACTTCGATCAAGCAAGTTCGACTCGACACTAACAGAACATCAACTAACTGGCTTGTAATTTATTTAAACGCTAGGCATTTAAAATCTAAATTAATTTTGACTTTTTGTTTCGTTAGACAGCACAGACGGACAAGAGGGATTTCACCTAGAAAATCAAGTGCCTGAGAAGGATTCCGCAGATAACGACTCAGCCATGCAACGGATAGCCTAACAGAAAGAAGAACGATCAGACATGAAGCAATCAGCAAATAGCATAATTTGATAAGCAATTTTCGTGTTTGAATCTGTAAATTGAATATTGACAGATACGTCATATTTGCAACCTCCGGGAAGAAAAGGGGTGCATTTGCAATAGCCAAATGAGTGCCGCTCGGAATGCCTCTATCGCCATTTATATTAAACAACGCAAAACACTCGATAAGAGATACATTTACACTTCACGAGTGCCTTGTACGTATTCTCTAACTACGCCATTGCTGATATCGATTTACTTCACGAAATGAAAACACCAACACGTCTTCAGAGGTAATTAAAAGGGATGCCCTCATTAAGCTTGCACAATAGTAGCCATATGAAGTATGCATGCAATAGAGAAGACCTTTTTAGTAACGTTTCAATGTTAAAATATATCATGTTCAAATTAGTTAACCGGAATTGGTCGAAAAATGGGCAAACGTTTGCCTTCAGAAGCCCTATACAAAACGATAACGATGTTCAACATTCACGATCACTGAGCCTTCGTTCAAAATATACATGAAAATTGAATAGGTAAGGGAATTTAATTAAAATTACGTTGACACCTCAGTTAAAGCCGAGTAAGTGTACGTCCTATCTGAGTTACATTAGGATCTTGGGTATTCTTATAACTGAAATCAGTAGTACACTATCTTAAACGAACGACTGTTACTTACTACGCTCATTACTGCATCGAAGTTGAAGCATAAACTTACCTGATGCCGCTAGCACTTAACTCCACTACAAAATACAGCCAATGCGAAATTTCGCTTTTCAAACGATCCTTTAAGAGATACTTGGGGCCGCTGCAAATTGTTTTGGTACCAAATTCTAGAACAATCACAACGAAAATAAAAAAGCCAAAAATTACCTACCAAACTAGACATAGGAAGTAACACAACTGACGTTAATTTCGAGTCGAACATTAAACTTGCGGTCTGCTTGAACATGAGAGCAGTTCTGCAAGTAACAGAACGGGATGACTGAACCCTCAACGAAGGCAACAAAGAGTAGCACTAGACAGAGTTAGTTCATCAGATAAAGTATTATAGGGCGACTGCTCGTAAACTGACAGGGAGCTCAGAAGTTTTTCCTCGGCGCCTCACACTGTTCGAGTTCTCGTACCACCAGGAACGTTGGGGACAGGTTGCCCCGTCCGCTTATTTTCCACCATGCTTTTCTGGGCTTTCGACTAGCTCTAACCAGACGTCGGCCGTACAAGGTAGCTTTGTTTCTTCTTTTTGATCTCCCACTTGATCTGCACCAGTTTTTCTAATTATCGTCGTGTCAGCTTGGGTCAATGAAGACACTTGAAGTGATGCAAAGCCATCTGCTCTAAGTTCTACGTTATACTCGAGGACGAATTTAGGGTATCGAGGAAGGCAAGCCTCACGCTTTACGATGTTTCCAACTGCCATTTACTGCTTAGCACCTGCTGTTGCTCAACCTGTTACGCGCCATCGACAATCAAAAACGTTCAAATTGTCTCGCAAGTTGACCCACATCATTACTAATCACTGTGAAGAATAATTTTGCTCTACAAAGTCAGCCAGGTAATGAAAATAAAAATAATATAATACAAGTAACTACATTTTGAACGCTATATGCTCGCATAGACGTTTCTCAGCGTTCAAATAAATATTTTATCCTAAAGAACAGCTTAAAAATTATGTTTCTATATTTTCTAAACTGAAATTTTCAAGTTCATTGAAATAAAAGATTCTGCACCCCCAAAGAGAATGCTGTCGTAGTAAATAAATGATGAGTGCACTCGCTACATGACGTTACTAAAAATAAATACGCCGTATGGAAGCCAATTAAGCTCCATCACGCTCTAAAGAATTATTCAAGACAAATGTATAGAACCATTGTATATCATTGTCACCGAACGAAAGTTATCACAATAAACGTTAGCTCATTTTCTAAACAAAACCCCATTATTCTGAATGTTTGGAGGTTATGCAATTAGATAGAACGTATTGCAGTAGAAAAGTGAGTAATGAGTACATGCGGTTAACGGTGACGGCGATTTCTATAAAGACAGACGTTGTGTGATAATAATAGGTAATTGATATGTACTGTCTTTTTCTCTTACAATAACAGTTTATATTAGGTAGCATAGAATTATGGTTATAATACGATTCTTTCAAAGCCACTCGGGAAGTTTCGTGAGACATAATCACAAAATTCTTGTTTTTGACGCCTTTCTTATGACCCTGTTTGTTTGTATTGAGGCTGAAAATTTGCAGCACGACGCACTTACGGATTCCTCTCCGAGTTAGCGTGTATGCTGGATAATTAGGCTCGACATTCAGAGATTATATAAGCTGATTGATTACCAGTTACGGTTAAATTGTGGCTTCACCTTTACGTCACAGTGTCCTAGGTTTTGCAGTCCTCTTTTCTTAGATAGGTTTTATGTTGTCAGTATTGTTCGTCCAAACATCAGTTCTAGAGAAGAACATTCACTGCCAGTTGATGCACAAGGGAATACTCTACACTTCATTACGTTTCTGAACCGCCATAAACGCATCGTCTTTTCCCTAAAGTCATCTAGGCCTCAACAAGTAGTGACACTCGAAATTTCTTACTTTCGGCCTCTTGCCTTTAACGACGCAGCTCGTTACTGGTTTTAGTTGGCCAGCTTGACCTGCCCGTGAAGGTACTTAAATTTAAAATTATTTAGTATCGTTTTCAAAATAGCTCTTATTAAGCTTCTGTCTATTTTTGATATGTTAATATGTCCGCTTTTGGTAAAAAGTGTATGAAAAATACATCTTCTTTCCAAACATTTTCCTCTACTATACGCGCTGTTAAATCTAAACAAAGATTGATTGGAAACGTTCGTTTGAATCTCTTCGAAAATTTCCCGCAACATGACTCAGCTAATATATTGTGCTCCAATTATTTTGTAACACTGTTATGCTTTGAATGTCTAATGAGATCTGCTAGCCAACGTCTCGCAACTAAGTTTCAGTCGCATTACGCGGTAGCCGCTACGCTAATACGCTTCTCTTCCATGAATCTTAGATTTTTTTTATTCAGAATGTTAACACGGAATTACCGTGCTTTTTCGTTTCGCATAATTCCGACCAGCTGGCAAATTATCGGAATCCTATGTTATCAATATGATACCACTCAGACGTAGAGAAGACTCCTCGTCGAAGCGACACCTACAGGACCCGCTTTCGCTGTAAAACCTAGATCTAGATTAGCCTCCGCACACAAACCGTTAACGAGCCATGGAACAATTTCGACACCCTGTCAAAAGAAGATAGAACGTGAACACTTCTACTGTAGTGTGGATACAACAATACGTAGGAAATAACTCGCAACGTTGGTCGTTTAGTTCTAAAAGGTTCTTCACCTACTCATGTAATGTGACGCCTCTAGTACGCCGTGATTAGTCATCCCATAGAACCCATATTACGTATAGAGCAATGACAGCCAGCTTCGAAGATTCAATCCTTCCAAGGACGAAGTGAACAGTTGGAAAATACTACGCTTATTTTTCTAATTTTCATAAAATGAGTTTGATTCCACACCATGTATGTATGTACCCATCACATAATGAAACTCGTATATTAAAAATAACCTAGAACGTCTTTTTTTGCTCATATCTTCTTATTAAACATTTTTCAACCATTTCTTTTACCAAATTGCAACTAGTGTTGTAGTGTTCAAGTCGCTCAATACATGGCTTGCACGACTTTTTACCCGTCGTATACCACATTGAAATTTCCTTTTTAAAGATCGACATGATGACGGTTTTCGTCTGTCGTCTATCATAATTGGTGTCGACAGATACTGATCCGATGATGGCTTCATAACTTCGGGCGGGAAAAATCCTGAAGTTGGCCTGTGTTTTGGATCGCGGATGCATGCGGCCAGGGCCTGATAATTCTAAAAGCATTCGATTAAATTGTTCATATTTATCTACACACAGGTATTCTGTGCTAAATTAAGAGAACATAGAATATGTGACTATTTAGGACGTTCAAAATTTCAATAGGTAACTCACCTCCAAGTTTTTAACTTGTTCCTTGAATTTCGCTGTGGAAGAAGTATTTGCAAGGTGCTGCTCGTTGATGAAGATATAGTCGTCAACTTTATTTTTTATTGCAATAAACGATATGGCGTTTCTTTGGAGTATCGCCGATCGCATTTTACTAAGAGCTTTAGTATTTAAATTGCTCTGCGAGTTCATGATCAAAATTCGAGTGATCATGTAGTTGAGTACCATATCGCCTATAAAAAGAGGATACGAACAATTTTATCATATCCACGACATGGGTCCAGTTACTTAATTCAGTACCGTTACTATCGTTGACTGTAAAATCTAGAAGTAAAGTATATTTGACCAAACGAATTAGATTTGTCCCATGAATTTAAACACGAAGGAAATATAAACCGTGTTAATAATAATAATATAAATATAAACCATAAGAATAAATAAGCAAGGCAAAACTAATATTTTTACAACATAAGGTAAATTTTTTTAGAAGTTCTTCACGTTTTCTCTGCAATTATATAAATAGTAAAAAGCTAATAGTAAATAAATAAATTGAATTAATATATTAATATATAAAACTATTGTTTTTATCCATGTTTAGACCACACAGACATGCCCAGACTACTGCCGAAGTAGCTGCGAGCAATGCTTTATTGCTTTAAAATCATAGTACTTTGCGAATATATTAATAGCTTTTAATAAAATGAAAAGTACCTTAATTATATTTAATTGAAATAACTTACCAGTGTAGACATGGTATATATTTTATATGACAAGCAAAATGGAACAGATATGATCGCAAACGCGTTAAAAGTTCTTAAAAGGACCTCGTTACTAGTTCGTAATAAAATTTGGAATGTTCTCTGCCAAAATTTTCCCATTTCCCGAAAATCTATTAGTTCTCAAACCTACCCTTTAATGAGTCTGCTATCATCATTCTTGTGTAACAGAATACAAACCAATTCAATACTGAACGTACCACTATGGCCCAGTTCATCCGATTGCAGAGTTTTTTTCTACAAGTTTAGACATTATCACGTCACCGTCGTATCTTACTTCATCAAAACATCTACGTTTATTATATCGCTTTCTATATAATCTACGTTTAAAATATATAAAATTATTGAGGCTGTTTTACGAGTAATATAGATTTGCTAATATTCTCACCAATTTGATCAAGGAGTGTAAATGAGTCTAAGCGGTCACGTCTCCGTTTTGCTTTGTAGCTTTTGTGCAGAAGAGCTTTGATAAGGTACTCCCGTTTAGTAAACCTATACCTAGAAAAACATAAACGCTATAATATGCGTGAACGAGCATGATGACTTCAACAAAAATAGGCTCTCTAACCATCGGTGACAACAAGCGCTCAAATTTATCTTTAAAAGTGCTCCGGCTCCCTTCATGAGCACTACATAGAGTACCACCTCATTTGAGGCTACTCAGACTAAAAAAACCTCAATCAAGGTTTCTCCAAATGAAATCTATACGACTCTCGCGGTAGTCGTACGGATATATTATACACCAAATAACTTTATTTATAACGCACTAAATGATTTTTAAAACGATAAATGACGGACAATAATGGGCGCTTAGAAGTTTTTGACAACAACTTGCATAATATTATCTTAGATTGTTTATATCTAATGACAAAATTATTTCTGAAACACCGACGATAAAAACCAACAGATGCCGATACATTTGCATAGTTTAGCATGACTTATTGCAGCATGTATTGCCTACCACACAAATACTACATTTACCTTGACCCTAATGTAATTCAATGGATAGAAAATCTTCTATATAAATATCTAAAGCCTACAAAAGCAGTTACAGTATACTCATTTAATTTTAATTAAAGGAAATGTACATCGCTACGAGGCGATGGTCTTTATGTTTATCTCTATCTGTTTTTATATATCTTGACACAGCTACCCTGAACTCATGTACACAATGAGCGTGTTATCTTGAATGTCACTCTGGCACGCAAGCGTAAAATGGTTCTGGAAGCTTGAATCTTACCTCGAAAACAGACTCTTGAGATGAACAAATTCACAGATCATTGGCCACCGAGGACTTCAAAACCCACGCAGAGGCTATCTGCGCATTCTTGCTGGAGTTTGGGACAATAATTCGGCGTGACAATACGCTTATTAATGATTTCCCCTAGGAGAGCGCTCCCAGCATAATAACCTACACAAGTAATAAGCCCAAAGTGGTCTTTGCTGACCTCGGTTGTCGGTGTTTATCTATTAACAGATATAGTTCAGAATGGGGTGCGTTCTCATGGTTGTTTATGTTAATTCTTATAATTTGCAACTAAATAATATTATTCAACCTATTGTATCATTTATAGGATGAATGCAACCATAAAAAGCTGTAAGCATGACTAATTATCCTGCTGATTAACCTGCTTCGTTTACAATCCTACCTTTTCTGTAGTAGGACCTTCTCAAAATCGTCAGGAATATTAAAAGCTATATCAGCCACCGTGCCAGCCGATAAGTGTTGGCAGCAGCTTTAAGCTGTTCGGGATCACCGTGAGAAAAAGTGACAGCGTCTATTTAAAACCTATTGATAAACTAATGTTAACGGTGTTGTTCATGGCAGGTTTGCTCTATGAACATACATGCTCAACATATAAAGAATTTCCATACAGTGAAAGAATGTGCCATACAATTACATTTTTATTTGTACATACAGTACAAAAAAAACAGAGTACATAGATGAAGTTGCCAAAAGTGTACAGCTAACACACGATGTTTTTAATTAGAAATAATTTACCTTTAGGATGCGAATTGTTATGAGAATATAACCTTGGCTGGAGAGGTTTAAGATAGGCACCTGAAAGGACGATGAGGGTCTTACATTTGTCTCAATAAATAACCAATAAAAGTAGGTAAAATTATTAGATTATTCTTCATACTCTGAAAAGAGTGTATGAATAATTATTAATACTGAATAATGAAGAATAATTGACACAAGCAAACCGTGAAAAATTTGCTTGCGTCAATTTTCACTTGTATGTTTCTCGGAAAATATCAGTACTATCCCCATGTTATTAAGCTTAACCTTTAAAAAGTAAACATACAATGGTCACCTCATATGGCCTCAAGTAAAATGGCATAAAAACGATAACGGTATTTGCACTACATATATATTTCTTTGTCTTCTAAATGAAGCATACACACCTCTATTGAAAACATTTTTCTATAATCTGACGTATCATCAATTTTTAATAATATAAAAAATAATGTTCTCTAGATACTATATTCAAGGTGAATGACTTACAAAATATAAGGCTAAAAGAGGTCCAAGCTGCACAGTTCGTTCCAAGATCATCTTCATAGTTAGAGCAGAGCAACGATTTTTCTGTAATAGGGAATCACAGGAAAAGTAAGTGATCATGCCTATATACATATATTTCCTATTTTGTACGAGAGCTGGAACAAAATAATCAAACAGCACAGGGGAAGGTTAGAGTGTTTGCAGTTTCATGGCGGTCGCCGACCGCTTAACAAATTTCCCTCTCAACTAACTGTTTTGGATGCCAGCACCACTTACTACGAAAGTGGGTTTGATATTCCGCTGAATGATAGCCACTGGGTGGATACTTTAATCCAGTTGACCTTTGGTAAAACACAACCAAGAGAGATATCAAAACAAAAGGATATAACGATTTCAATAAGCATTACCATTGTCTCAAATGGCAGGGTAGCCCTATATGTCTGTAGCAACTCTGCGTAAAACCAGAGCTTACATATGCAGCGTAACGCCTTCGACTCATGGTGGTTAGTTAAAGATTCGCAACAATATGCTTAAACACGACACAACAAGAAAACGACATGCTGTTAACATGTGTTGTGAACTCACGGAGTGTTCAGTGCTGACACTGTGTCATGAGCGTCATGAGATCATTTCAAATGTTTGCTATGTCGATCCTACAATTAATGGGACACTATGACAGCTGTTTATGCTACGTGGTATGTTTCTCTTTGTCATGAACCTCTCTGAACCAAAACAAGAGGACCTTCTTTGAATTATATCCATTGTTGTAAAATAACGCTTAGCTCCATAAGCGCTGACACTGGCAATAAATAATGACCCAGTGCCTGTTCGAAAAACGCAGCCTCAACAATCTACTAACACCGATTGCAGGTTTGCGAGCAGGGTTCCGATGTTTCGATGTTTCAGAAAACTTTTTTGGATTGGGCAGTTCGTCGGGTGATGTGTTTATCTTTAGTCGAATTTGTCAACGTCTTCTGCGGAGAGTGCCAGCAGCGTCGGCCAAGATTGACCGTGTCGCTTTCAATCCTGCCAATGACAATGTGTTCTGCGCGGCTTCAAATCGTGGGGAGTTGGTCATTATTGAGCACAATACTTTGCTCGTTCATCCTCAGCCCTCAAAAGAGTTATACCGCAGTGAGGCTCATGCAAACTCCACAGTATCCCAATTGCTGTGGACAAGATCAGGGTCATGCTTTATCGGTGGAGATCACCGTGGCGTAGTTAGTGTTACGGACCTATACGCACTAAATGATATGGTCTTATTTGATATATCACCCACGAATATTCTTACACTTGATAGTCGTATTATACAAATTGATACATTTCGTGATCGACTTGTGATTTCTACACTCACGGCAAGCTATCTGTGTGACCTGGATGGTAAGCGTTTCACAAAAATTGGCAAAAAATCGCGAAATGGTGTATTTGGTGCATGTTTCTCAGAAGCACTACCGGAAGATGACGACTATCCAACTGTGTATTGTGTTAGGCCGGGTGGACGCTTATGGCAGGCGAACAACTTCGGTGAGGTCGATTGTACGCTTAGCTTTCGACATGAAGGCTCAACTAATATAGACCACGTTCCGATTCCACTGCACGGGACAACTATGAAGAGAAAATTGTTCGACAGAAAGGTGCAATTCGGCGTCCTATTTTCAATAGACGAGCAGCTCATGACATTTACTGATGAAGCTCTATATATTTTACAGGTGCAAGACTGTGACTTTCCTTGCGTAGTTTGGCAGACCACGTCATTTAGAAATCGGAAAGTGATTGAATCAAAGGTAGAAAGCAGCTCAATCTTTTTCATGCACCAGGACGGCGCCCTTACCGAATGGGGTTTCACAATGAGCATACTTCAAAATGTCTTTTACATCCTGCCAAGATCGGAGCAACGTCTAACAGCCATTTTGCAAAACATAAACTGGGACCAGGTCTCAAAATATCTTAATATCATTCGAAGGGAGCAATTTCGTGGTAGGGAACTGATGGTCCGAAGGTCTGACCTAAGCTTAGTACAGGTTAAAACAGATTTCCGTAATATCCAAATTTTATCTATACAAACACTCATTGACATTTTCCACTATCTAGAAGGTATATTCTACTCTCTCGATAAACGATGGTATGGCACTGTCGCATTACTCGTTCTTCCATGGCATGAATACTTTTTTGACAACTTGAGAGCTGTTCCCTTGCCAAGCAATAAATTCACAAAGGAAACCCCCCTGCTACCCACAAGATCGAGCGATCGACAGAATAGTTATTCTGATGTTCCGAAATCGATAACTCTTCCAAAACAGGAATCGGCAATCCGACATGCGCATCGCAAACTTCTCGATCGTATAAGCCATCGACTGCAAAAGGAAATCGCGGACTCTCTTCTGGTTGAGATAAGCGGCTTGTTATGGGCAACGCCTCATATTCTGCAGGGACAGCGTTTTATCGATCATCCGATAGCTGACTGGGGCATACGGATAGACATGTCAAACGACTGTGACATTTGTGGCGAACGCTTAGTACTGCATGACATAGAAGAGGACGTTGTCATTCACTTTTGCGGCCATCTCTTTCATGCCACCTGTTCAATATCTGACAGCCTTTGCTGCGTGTGTATGCAAAATAGCGATGATTATACCATCAATAGAATACTGGAGTGATAGTCAAACACTGCGTACCGTGGTAAATGACAGATCCGAAAACAGCGCCGTCTGAAGTAATGCTCAACAGTGGTAACAAAAAATCTAAACCATTAATTAAGCATGAAAACAGTACTTCTACGAAATCGTAAATTGATAATAAAATACAGTTATCCTATCAGAAATAAATATATAGCCAAATACGTGGCTATTTCAGTAGTATTTACGCAATATTGCTTGTGTCATTAGTTAATTGCACTTATTATATAGTCTATGTATGATGGGCACACACAGAACGTATGTGTGCATTATGTAGAATTTTGGGGCGCGCATATTTGAAAGAAGCCGTTGTTTACTTCACACGCGGCGATAAGAGAAAACAATGTTCCTTTTTTTACGTAGAAGTCAGTATGTAGAAAGCATGCCAAGGGTCATCGAAGCTATATGGACAGATTCATCCGCCTATTTACCGGCACATGAGATTCCTTTAGCTTCAAATGATTATTCGAATAAAAGACATAATTTTGCCCTAGAGTTTGTTAATAGAACCCCATAGACGTATGGTATTTCAGTCAGTATTTTTTAATCTAATTTATCGCGAAGTTTGCAGATGTGTCTAGTATTAGACCTTGATTAATAAAAACACTCATAGCATTTCAATAAAACCAGAAGTTTATTTACCATGTATTAGCCCATTTCTGTCTTTCAGCCATATCCTTGTTGAATCGTTTGGTTCGAAATCGAATGATTTTCAGCGTTTGAAATATTATTTATTATTAAATAGTATGTGAAAACGTCAACACGTATATTATTGATAAACATTTTTTAACAATACATAACATAACAAATATTACAAAACAAGTTAGATTAGTTTCTGTATTTTATTCTGTATAATATTTTGCCATGCTGTAGTTTACTTTGAAGGATCCAATAGTTAAATATTTCAAATAATTAACTTCAGGACTTAAATTAAAATCCAGACCTTTACTCTTAAAATTAATATTTTTAAAATAGACCTGGCCAGCATGTAAACAACACAAAAATCCACTCTACCACTTTAAGGGTACGGTCTTCGTCGTATTCATCGTCGTAATAATCAATGATTCTGTTCCAGATGAAAAACGCCTTCAGTAATTATGACTCCCACTGACTCCGCTCTTAAATATAACAGCTAATCTAATTTTTCCTTAAAATCGATTAGTTTAAAGCATATGATGTCTTACATGTTTTGTACTTCTGGTAAATACAGAAAACGAAAAATCCTTCTTCCTATGCTGTTATATTACAAAACGCTTGTGGTAATGTGAGAACACTGTATAGGGCTAACAAACATTTTTTGGCAAGTTGAAATAAAATCGAAAAACATAATGTGGCCACAAGGAATTTACCAAGGAACTAAGTGAAAACTTATGTATTGTAAATTTCACGAAACTGAATTAATCATATACATATATGTATACAATTATCGCATGATAAAACTCGCATATTAAGATAACCTCGTTTATTTTATTAAATCTAAACATTTTATTAAATATTAAACATTTTTCAATGACTTCTTCTATCAGATTTCAGTTAGTATTGTTGTATCGATATCGTCCCATACGTAGCTCATTCAGTGTTTTGGTCATTGTATACCTTATTATAAACGACTTCAATTTCCTTTTTGAACATTGGCATGATGACGTCGTCGGTCTTTTGAATATCGTAACCGCTGTCGACGTATACCGCACCGATGATAGCTTTTACAATATCTGGCAGGAAAGATCCTGAAGTTGGCCTGCGTTTTGGGTCGATGATGGCTGCGACCAGGGCCTGATAATTCTAAAAGCATTCGATTAAATTGTTCATATTTATCTACACACAGGTATTCTGTGCTAAATTAAGAGAACATAGAATATGTGACTATTTAGGACGTTCAAAATTTCAATAGGTAACTCACCTCCAAGTTTTTAACTTGTTCCTTGAATTTCGCTGTGGAAGAAGTATTTGCAAGGTGCTGCTCGTTGATGAAGATATAGTCGTCAACTTTATTTTTTATTGCAATAAACGATATGGCGTTTCTTTGGAGTATCGCCGATCGCATTTTACTAAGAGCTTTAGTATTTAAATTGCTCTGCGAGTTCATGATCAAAATTCGAGTGATCATGTAGTTGAGTACCATATCGCCTATAAAAAGAGGATACGAACAATTTTATCATATCCACGACATGGGTCCAGTTACTTAATTCAGTACCGTTACTATCGTTGACTGTAAAATCTAGAAGTAAAGTATATTTGACCAAACGAATTAGATTTGTCCCATGAATTTAAACACGAAGGAAATATAAACCGTGTTAATAATAATAATATAAATATAAACCATAAGAATAAATAAGCAAGGCAAAACTAATATTTTTACAACATAAGGTAAATTTTTTTAGAAGTTCTTCACGTTTTCTCTGCAATTATATAAATAGTAAAAAGCTAATAGTAAATAAATAAATTGAATTAATATATTAATATATAAAACTATTGTTTTTATCCATGTTTAGACCACACAGACATGCCCAGACTACTGCCGAAGTAGCTGCGAGCAATGCTTTATTGCTTTAAAATCATAGTACTTTGCGAATATATTAATAGCTTTTAATAAAATGAAATGCACCTTAATTACATTTAATTTAAATAACTGACCAGTATAGAAAATCTATTAGTTCGCAAATCTACCCTTTAATGAGTCTGCTATCATTATTCTTGTGTAACATAATACAAACCAATTCAATACTGAACGTACCACTATCGCCCAATTCATCCGATTGCAGAGTTTTTTTCAACAAGTTTACACATTTAAATGTTATCACGTCATCGCCGTATCTTACTTCATCAAAACACCATCGGAAATCTACGTTTATTATATCACTTTCTATATAATCTACGTTTAAAATATATAAAATTAATGAGGCTGTTTTACAAGTAATATAGATTTGCTAATATTCTCACCAATTTGGTCAAGGGGTGTAAATGAGTCCAAGCGGTCACGTCTCCGTTTTGCTTCGTAGCTTTTGTGCAGAAGAGCTTTGATAAGGTACTCCCGTTTAGTAAACTTATACCTAGAAAAACATAAACGCTATAATATGTGTGAATGAGCATGATGATTTCAACAAAAATAGGCTCTCTAACCATCGGTGACAACAACAGGCGCTCAAATTTATCTTTAAAAGTGCACCGGCTCCCTTCATGAACACTACATAGAGTACCACCTCATTTGAGGCTACTCAGACTAAAAAAACCTCGATCAAGGTTTCTCCAAATGAAATCCATACGACTCTCGCGGTAGTCGTACGGATATATTATACACCAAATAACTTTATTGATAACGCACCAAATGATTTTTAAAACTACAAATGATGGACAAGAATAGGCACTTAGAAGTTTTTGACAACAACTTGCATAATATTATCTTAGATTGTTTATATCTAATGACAAAATTATTTCTGAAATATTTGCATATATTAGCATATTTACATGCATACATTTGCATAGTTTAGCATGACTTATTGCAGCATGTATTGCCTACCACAAAAATACTACATCTACCTTGACCCTAATGTAATTCAATGGGTAGAAAATCTTCTACATAAATATCTAAAGCTTACAAAAACAGTTACAGTATACTCATTTAATTTTAATTAAAGGAAATGTACATCGCTACGAGGCGATGGTCTTTATGTTTTTCTCTGTCTATTTTTATATATCTTGACAGAGCTATCCTGAACTCATGTACACAATGAGCGTGTTATCTTGAATGTCACTCTGGCACGCAAGCGTAAAATGATTCTGGAAGCTTAAATCCTACCTCGAAAACAGACTCTTGAGAAGAACAAGTTCACAGACCTTTGGCCACCGAGGACTTCAGAACCCACGCAGAGGCTATCTGCGCATTCTTGCTGGAGTTTGGGACAATAATTCGGCGTGACAATGCGCTTATTAATGATTTCCCCTAGGAGAGCGCTCCCAGCATAATAACCTACACAAGTAATAAGCCCAAAGTGGTCTTTGCTGACCTCGGTTGTCAGTGTTTATCCATTAACAGATATAGTTCAGAATGGGGTACGTTCTCATGGTTGTTTATGTTAATTCTTATAATTTGCAACTAAATAACATTATTCAACCTATTGTATCATTTATAGGATGAATGCAACAACAAAAAGCTGTAAGCATGTTTAATTATTTTCCTGCTTCATTTAGAACTCTACCTGTTCTGTAGTACGACCTTCTCAAAATCTTGAGGAACCTCAAGAGCTAAATCAACGATGAGTGCCGGCGACAGTTTTAAGCTGTTCGGGACCACTGCGAGAAAAATAAATACGTCTCTTTTAAACTTATCGGCAAACTAATGTTCATAGTGCTGTTAATGGCAGGTTTGGTTAGTGACCATATATACTCAACATATTTTAAAGAATTTTCATTTATTCTTATTATTATTTTACAATTAACATTTTATAGAGAGTACATAGATGAAGTTGCCAAGAGTGTGCAGTTAACACACGATACCTTCACACTATCAGGCAAAAATATTTAGTGAGATTAATTAACCAAATAAACCTAAATTGACCTATGTTTTTAATTAGAAATAATTTACCTTTAGGATGCGAATTGTTATGAGAATATGACCTTAGCTGGAAAGTTTGACCCGCACAATGGTTTATGACAGGCATCTGAAAGGATGATGAGGATCTTACTTTGAACTCAATAAATAACCAATAAAAGTAAGTAAAATTATTAGATTTCTCTTCATACTCTTTTTTCAGTTTGCTTATATCAACCTTCACTTATGTGTTTCTACTTGACAACATGTTTCAGAAAATATCGGTACTATCCCCATCTTATTAAGCTTAACCTTTAAAAAATAAACATACAATGGTCATCTCACATGGCCTCAAGCGAAAAAAAAAATAGCATAGATGATAACGGTATTTGCACTATATATATATTTAATTGTCTCCTAAATCAAGCATGCACACCTCTATTGAAAACATTTTTCTATAGGACGTTCTAAACAACCACAATCGTGACAACAACAATTATATTTTTCGTAGGTAATCTGACGCGTCATCCGTTGTTAATAATATAAAAAATAATGTTCTAGATACTATATTCAAGGTGAATGACTTACAAAATATAAGGCTAAAAGAGGTCCAAGCTGCACAGTTCGTTCCAAGATCATCTTCATAGTTAAAGCAGAGCAACGACTTTTCTGTAATAGGGAATCGCAAGAAAAGTAAGTGATCATGCCTATATACATATATTTCCTATTTTGTACGAGAGCTGGAACAAAATAACCAAACAGCATAGAAGAAGGTTAGAGTGTTTGCAGCTTCATGCTTGTCGCCAACCGCTTAACAAATTTCCCTCTCAACTAATTGCTTTGGATGCGAGTATCACTTACTAAGAAAGTGGGCTTAATCCTCCGCTGGATGATAGCTAATGGGTAAAACGCTTGCTTTATTATAGAACGCACTCTCCAGTTCCGCATTGGACTGCACCTTGTAACATAGATATTGGACAAAGATGCCTTCAGTTCTTAGTACAAAAACAAGAGGGATAATGAAAGCTCGCAGGTTAATCTTGTAATTTTAGAATAAAACGTTAGTTAAACGTAATTTTAAATCAATTAATCGGGTTAAATATGTCTAATTATTCATTGTTGTTACCATTTCGTTGTCCACACCGGATTCATAAACGCGTATATCCGCTAATTCATAAAGATAAAACGGATAAAATGCTGTTTTTACTTAAAGATCTTTGCGACAAATTAGTTGGACAGAAAAAAGAATACTTGACGTAATGTGAACTGCGCCTGCAATTCCTTGCTAATCGCGAATTCCTACGATTGATCTTGATAAGTTTCTTGCAGAGCAAGTAAATCAGCTCAGCTCAACGAAGTAGTCTAAAGAGCTATCCTTTATAGGTATTTACAAGAGCGGCCATTGCAGTTCATGTATTTATTCATAGAGAACTATCTATCACTACCCTCGTTCCATCTATTAAGACAATATCTCGTTTCTAATTAGTGTCAGTAACATTAAGAAAACACTTGAGTAAGAGCTGCAAGACCTTGAACCTTAAATGGCTTTAATTATAAGCATGTAAGCCTTCGGTTGTATTTTCTATTCAAATGTATTGCTTTGCTTTAAAAATATACAGCCAATGATAATTATATGTCCAACAAAAAAAGTCCGCAATGTTGAAAAGATCGCAGAGGTTCGTTCTAATTAAAGCATTTGGTTATGCATCAGTTTAACAGAGTTTTGTTATTATTTGCTGTCATTCCATATTTCTCTGACCACCAAAATACACTGCTCAGGCTGGTGGAATGACGCAGTCACGTCGAAAGACTTCACCTTCTATTGTATCATTTTGTGCTTAAATGGTATCGGTCGTTATGCTGCACATCTCTCATTTATACAAATAATATAAAATACTACATTTGCTATTGTCTCAAACATATTGGGCCGCAGTCTAAGTCCTTATACTCTCACTAGCAATAAACCACAGAATTATACTTGGGTTATACTCCTGTATGGTAACAATAATAACTTATGATTCACGTTGAACATCCGAAGCCACATTAACACTGCATCAAACAAATGTATCGACTGAGATTTAAACACAACATTAATATGACTTGCTTTACCTACAGAGGTCGTTTTGTACGAATTAATTGGCTGCGCAGCAGGATTAATGTGTCTTAATATTTAACAGGGAGATACAGTACCATATTGTAACGGAAGCCCTAAAAAATAAGCAAAAATCCATCTAAGAGGTGGCTGTGATAGAACTCAGTGCAAACCAAGATCGCACTATAATTGTACATGAGGCAGGGTTTTATTGTACAGCACATTCAATCACGGGATGAGGGTTCTTGAGCCATTATTTTTTTAATTTTTATTATAATTTTAAAAGAAGATTAATTTGTGGAGTACTTTAGAAAAACAAATTCATAATGAGTATCATATCATATGGAGCAATGTTTGCAAGGACTGGGCACTCGAGCACAATTTAAGATTATCAGTAGCGTGTTATCGACAGTTTATGCTATATATTTCTCGGAGCGTCTTTGAATAACTTTTGACAAAATGACCCCTTTAATATTTTTAATTTTTTAATGCCTCATCGAGTTCCAGAGCAGAAGAAAGAGTTTTAGCGAAGAAAAGGGGTGCCCAAATGCCTTTCTTTTCTATCGTCACTAGAATTTAAGGCTCAGGAAAGGTACCTACAAGTTTAATCGACACAACACGCTCCAGATAGCTATATGAGTTTCTGACGAAAGCGCCCTACTGATATTGCTACTATCAAAGGTAGTTGCAAAAATAACGTTGCTTTAGAACGAAAAAGCTTACGCCGCCTAACTACGAGTAACAGAGTAAATACGCGATAATACTGTGAAATTAAAAGTTTGCTATACTACTGCAAAGCTCTTGCCAATTCTAGCACACTGTCTTAATATTGATACAATTCAAAACCCTTTTATTTAAAAAAAATTGATAGTACTACAAACATACCGAGTTATTACTCTTTGTGACATGCATCAAGCCAAGGCATTATTTACAGTTAACAGGTAAGCGTGTACAACTTATTTGTAGATATTCTAATTTAGGCACTCGTTCCCGTCTTCGAAATAAATTTACAACGAGCCATTTGTGTAACCTTGGATGTAACGCTTCCGTACTTTCTTCATTGCTGTATGCATGGGTTGTTTTAAGAATAACGCGAATTCAAGTGAATGGGGCGGGAAATAATTATGTTATTTATCTAGCAGATAATTTTTCTTTCACTTTTGACCGATATTGAAATGCTACGGTCGTGAACAAATGTTGTTATTATTATTATAACTAATTTGGATTAGAGCATTCGCGGAATCGTCGCCTTCCAAAGTTGTCCTTCTTTGCAGAACCCTAATTCGAAATTCTTCCCGCCAGATTAGATCAGCATTGGGTGAGGGCACTCGATCACGTGACTCCGATTTTGTTTACATTCGATTTTTGGGCTCTCGCTGCCTCGAGTCAGAGACAAAATACACGTGTTTGTGTTCTGATTTAATAAGGCTAACCGACTTCGCTGGTCGTGATAGCTCATCTAAGCTAGTTGTGTTCCATCGCACGAAACCACCAACAATAAGGCAGAACTGTATAGATTATCGCAGAATAGGTGCGTGCATCGTATCGAATTTTGTGGCTGATTCTTTGATGTGATAGTAAGAAATTTTTTTGAGTTTAACGGAGAATCTTAAGCTATTAATCATTGTGCAAACGCTATACAAAGTAGTTAGCACAAATCGGTATGGCAATGAAAAAAGTAGTAGCAAAACCTGCTGGCGGGTCGGCCAATAAAGGAGTACCTGCTATGGTCGGAAAGAAAACCAACGTGAGTTTATCATTAATTTGTTACGAAACTGCAATACCATACTGCTAAGATATTTATTCCATAACCAAATATTATTGCCAAAATACTATACTGAAATGGACTTAACAGTGTACTTGAATACTGTTTATTTTCTATTTTATTATTTTCGGGAAGGCTTTTAAGGAAGGGTACTGTTTTTAATAATTTCATTAACTTGTACTTTACATTGATTACATTAAATTATATTAATTTCTATATAGGACGTTTACACGAAAACTGCAATGCGCTGAGTATTATTTTGAACTTACGCTCTGCATCGAGCAACACACTTATTTCCAGGAATCTCTTGAGTAATTGATTGAGTTCAGATTATGGGTTTCAACATTAGCACTGCGTTGAAGACTTGAAAATAACCAATGTTGCATGTACGTTTACGCAACGCACTACTTAGTGCGTGACACAGCATGTAAGCACCATCAGACGAAAATGAAGAAAAATAAAAATTAAAAGTTCGTGGTATAGATCTCATAACTTTAGTCTTAATCTGCCTAATTCTATTAATTATTAACGTATTTAATTAATAACATTACCTTCTTCTTGCGTTTCAATAAAACAAAGATGGGTTTGTATATTATACATTGACAAAGAAATTAGAGCAGTTACTATTATTACTTGTAGGCTTGGTCTACTTGGTTTATTAAGTTTTTACAGCGTATACTCTATACAGATTTCACGATTTCTTTTATCCCGATGATCGTATGGTTTTGTACGGTCATTCTCCTACGGTATCAATGAGTGTTAACATAAATTAAGCTTTATGAACAGTATACCTATTTCGATTTCACAGGTTCAAAATTCAAATCCCCAAATGGAAAACGAAAATGAATCGGATGAAGACGAAGAGCTCAAATTGCAGGTAGGCCACTCGTTATATTATTATATATAATTATATATATATATATATATATATAACGCAATAATATATTAGGTTTTCAAACAGGCGTCATTTAGCGATCGCGCGATATGTTTGCGCCAATTTTGTAGATGCCAATGTTTTGATCATTCGAATGGGTCCCTAAATAGGGTTCATCAATAATGATCAGATAAGAACCAGAGGAGAAGTTACGTATTACCAATAGTCTTTGAAGCAGTTGTGCCCACGATCTTGAAACACTCAATGGAGTAAAAAAATAGAAAACTTGAAAAAGGTTGAGCAAATCGAAGCTAAAAAAATTGTAAGAATCCGGCTTTCTAAATGAGCAAATATTTTAGAACGAAATGGAAGTAAGAAGCCATTTTTGTTTTGACCTGCCGAAAAAATTTCCCACAATTGCTTCACCGTAAAAATGTGTACAAGACTTCACAGTAGCCAATGTTGGGTTGTCGTTGTGAGCTCAATTTAGTTTACTTTCGTGCACTTTTTGCTATGAATATATTTTTTATTTCAGAGTTTGTCCAACCTTTTATAGCCCGCTTATTGCTATTTGTGGTTCATTCTGCAGAAATCTTTATTTGAGAAAATCAAGAAGGCCGCTGAACCTGAAGGTTCAGATGAGGAGGATGAAGATGAGGCCGATGAAGATCTCGATGAAGAAGAGAATGATGCTGAGGAGAATAATGGTGACAACCTTGATGCTAAAATTATTGGAGCATTGAAAACAAAGGTTGTTGCCAGAGGTAGAGGTGCTAAAGAAGGTAAATCTGGTAGGTCTGCTGTTGAGAGCAACGACGACGAAGAAGAGAAGGAAGACGACCACGACCACGATGACGAAAATCAAAAAGACGACGACAACGATGGGAAAGAGGAGGAGCAAGAACGTGACGATGACAATAAGTTTGAGCGGAAAGTGATAGATAAAAAAAGGATCCATTCGCAACTCTTATTCAAACATCTTGAAGCAATGCCAGGTAAGGTGCGCGGCGGCGATGATGATGATGGTGAGATGGCTGGGATGGGTGAAGATGATGACGAAGATGAAGAAATTAGTGATGAAGAAGAACGCCCGATGGAAATGCCCAGCAAAGAGCAGAAAAAGGGCAATTCGATGGAATACGGAAAAAAGGCCGGTGGAGGCATAAAACGGAAGACCCTTCTTGACCAGGCCGATGATGACGTTGGGGGAGTCTCGACGAAGAGAACACCAGTGCAAAAAAGAGCCAAAAAAACTAAATTTGCTACCAGTGATGAGGATGAGAATGAAGATGAAAAGGAGGAGAATGAAGAGGAAGACGACGATGATGATGATGATGATATTGTCTGTGAGTGGTGATCCAGTTAATGCTCTGGCTCAGAAATTATATAGTGCTTCGGTTTATAATGCAATATAAGCATTTTTAACGGGAGCGGTCAAAACACGCTCTTTTAATGCATATTTTACACTGAAAAAAACACATGTATTTTATAATCTGATGTTTAATTATTTTCACGACTGGTAAGAAAACTAGGTTTCGTGATATCAATTGTATGGCGCTGAGATCAATATATTAAATATGATACCTTCACAACACTTGTTCGGGCTAGAACTTATCTTTGCCAAAACACATATTCGATTTTAAGCGTCCAAAGTGCTAAACGGCTTTATTAATACAAGTTTTAAGAAAAATGTTGTTGGAATAAATGTTGTAATTTGTTCTTGCTATATTTCATGTATTTTTGGATGGCAGTACCAGTAAAACCGGCCACACAGAAGGACAGAGCCAAAAAGATCGTGGATGGAAAGCAAATCGATGAGAAGCTTGATCAACTTTTTAACACCTACAAAAGTATGTATTGGATTATTACTCACCTTTTTATATATTTGCGGTCAATAAATCTAAAGATGTTATGCCTATAGTTATATTGTCGATATTAACACTAAAAGGTGGTGTCTTTTTGTCTATTGATTTGTTCTGCCTGCATGCAGTAATTGCTTTAATACAATTACTTGTGAGCTTACACGGTGCCATCCTGAACGTTCTACCTGGCATTTTCTGCCGAAATCTTTCATTGACGAAACAATTTTTAAAAGCATTTTATCCACCTCCCCGACGACTCTTATCGTTATCATACCAATTTATTAGAGTAAGAGGCGAAGCCGAAGTGGGCAGAAACCCATGAGTTTCGACTGAGCAGTTACTTTCTAGTAATTGCTCTAAGTGCGACATCCATTACTATTTGACTGATCGGATCTTTTTTTAGAGAAGAAATGTGTTATTTTTATGAGATTTTTATTAATGATACAGAAATATTATTCTATCAATAACATATTATAATGGCTATATCGAATTACCTTGACTGACACTGCCCTTATATATTGCTTCATGGCTGCACACCTATAACAATTGTCTATTATTACACTTTTAATTAAAATAAGAGAATGTTTTTTTACGGAGCGCAGCAACTCCGGAAGAGGTTGAGCAGTTTAAAAATAACTACCTGGTAATGGTCAGTACGTGGCTATTCGTGCCTCATGTCCCGGACGACGCTACCGAAGAGGAGATTGCTGCAACGCATCCGAATATTAGCAAGGTACAGCACCCGACACTGTTCATAGAAATACATTTTAGCCATGTTGTACAAAACGAACTCTTTTGCTACGTGGCGTTGATTTAAGAAACATCCCGTTATAAGCCGCCGCTACTCATTACTAAAATGATCATTAACTTATTCATATGCATCTGTAGTGCAGCCTTGAATTGATAAGATACGCGAGAATAACAGCGAAGATATTATCTTTAGAACTTACTAGAGATATATTTTTGAAACTACTTTAGTAGCACATCGTGGTTTAGGTTTGAATCTTCTGATACACCATACCCTGATTCTGATACCAGAATCGATGCCTAATGGTTCAAGCAGTAGACGTAAAACTTGGAAAAATTTAGTTTAGCTCTGTTTGAAGCATCTGTGCAATACACTTTTGTCAGTATTTATAACGTAAGCTAAATATGCATAAGAACATAGCCTATGACCATAGTATATTTGATAAAGGACGTTGAAATTTCTTGAACAATTCTAAAACACATATGTAACATAAACAATGTTTTTTTTTTGTTGTGGTTGCGGTCACGGACTCAAATTACAGGTTAAGCTTCCACGAAAGCGTAAAGAGGGCAAGAACTTTGCATTTCTCAACTTTATATCGAAAGAAAAAGCCGAGGAAGCTCTCAACGACTTGACACTTTCTTCGCCAACTATCAAAGGTTCTGAATTGACGGTGCAACGTTCCAGGGCAACGGGTATAACCCCCCCGGAGTATATTAATCGACGGAAACTATCCATTATCGCATGTCCTAAGGAAACCACACAGGTAAATTGTGATCCTTAGAAAACCTACATGGGTAAATAAGAAATAACTATCAGAACAGAACATTTATAGAATAATTACCTTTTACATACAATATACATTCCCATCATATAATCAGCTGAGGACTTGGAACTTCGCGAAGTTCCAACAGTCAAACAGGCGTTTGATTTCATTTCGTATTAGAAATAACACCGACCCATGATGGGTTAAAATAAGATGACGAATGTATAATTTACATCACGTTATCTCGTTCGGTATGAACTACTGGAAAAATGTGTTGTATATAGTTGCCATACGATTTTATATAAACATAGTAATCATGTAATTGTACGCGATAACCTCATTTTATGCTGTTATATTGATGTAGCAAACGCGTATGTGATGCGCAGAAAAGTAGTGTGATATGTACACCATCGAATGAAATATTTAAATTGAAATGCTTAGTTACAGTAACTATCGCGCTCGCGCTCGGGGATAAAATTTCCTGTCTATCACGTACGATATAGTAACCGTCGTATTCTGCTAGTTATTCTGCAATCGAAAGCTGTGTATTTAAAGAGCTGTGCGGTAAATGTTTGATCTGCTAAATACTTTGTTTTATTTTAGGAGGAATTGTGTAAATTATTCCCACAGGCTACAACCGTGTGGCTCTCCAAGAATCCTCGCTCGGATACAGTCGAAAACTATCTGATGTTTCCTGGTTAGTTAGTTTCTCATTAATTCGATTAGCTCATCTTCACGTTATACTAAGCCCTCAATGAATTTGCGAATACTTAAATAACTGCTAGTGGCTAATCCGGACAACGCGCACTATGATTGATCGCTTTGAATATTTAGTTCTTTCATTTGTGTAACACACTAAAACGCCTAGGGCCTGTTATAGCCTTTAACGACCGAGTGGCGCGGTAGTGCCACAAGTGAGTTCTGTGTACGAAGGTGCAGATAGGCTATTTCCTTTTACTACATTCTTGTTAAACAGAGATGATCGGTAAGGCGAAATTGATTCTTTATGATGACATTGCTAAAACCATTATTTAATTTTTATTACGTTTAATAGACCTAATGCTCAAAGATATATTTTTCTGTAATGCTTAAAAATTATTCAAATTGTGAAAATATAATGATTACTGTTGTCTTAGAATCGGAATCCATATGTCAGAGTTACCCAGCCATTCTGAAATGTAGTTCTTTTAGTACACTTCCACGCATATTTGTACCTGTAAGTAATCTAATGACTTATATATTTATCTGAATTGCTTCCACCAGATGAAACCATATGTAAACAGGTACTTAATGACAATGGCACGGTCACATTGCATGGAAAGTGCTGTGCAGTTTTCTTCGACAACTACACTTACAAGAAAAAGACCGCTAGTCGAAAGTTAAAGAAGAAATTCGAAAGTGGTAAACATATCTCCGTCGACCGAATCTCTGTCGATGCACCGAAAAAGGGTCGCCGAGGAGGAGGAGGAGGTAGCTTTCGCGGCGACTTTCGAAATGGTGTCCCGAGGGGCGCTGGCGGCGGGGAAGGTGGTGCAGGACGGTTTCGTTTCAGAAGAGGCGGGCGAAACTTCAAGAGCCATCGCGCAGGCGACTACGATAACAAAAGGGATGATGACCGCCCACGCGACAGAAATCGACAGAGTTTCCGTGAAGCTAACCGCCACGGTGTCTGTGAGGGTAAGGGTTTTAGACGTGGCTTCAATAACCGAGGTGGTTTTCGAGAGCATGATAGGAACCACCGAGAAAGTGACGGTTTTCGGGGAGAACGAGTTAGCGAAGCCGGATCTCGCAGCGGAAAAAGTGGAGGTTTCCGTGGGGGACGGAGTGGAGGTGGAGATGGACGCGGATTCCGTGGTGGTGTAAGAGGTGGAGGTTCCCGCTATAGTAGTAGTGGAGGCGCAGGGTTTCGTGGCGGCCGTCTTGGTAATAGCCACTCTTCCAGGCGAGACGACTAAGAGGATATCTGTAAAAAAGTGTAAGGATCGTCATCGAAGCACCCTTGGTGACGTGCAGCAGCAGCAAAATACATTGCTGTACACGTCGTTTTCTTATAACCGAAATATATAGGAGGTGGTTAAATCAAATGAGATGGCGGTTTCTGAGAGGTTAATAGTTTTGTGTGATTTGTTTCACAATCAATTAGTCGCTGATGCAATGCGCTATTTTCCTTCGACTTTTATGGGTCAAAAAATCTATGGATACCTACTGTAGTTTGTCGGTGAATGACTGCATGGATTAGGTTTGCTTGGAAACTACAGAGATCAAGGTCGCTATTAACGAAGGGCTTACTCGTATATAATAGTAGCATGTATTGTTGTAATAATGACTATGGGCCGTGTAGACATTACCATGTAAAAATTGTTGATGATTTACCTATAAACATCCTGTATTTAATTCACCATTAACTTGTATACCATAACTGTATATACAAGTTTACTCTTTACATATATATATTTAGTTAAGCCAAACTACGTTCTTAAGAATATGCAGAATGGATTTTCCTTCAGCGTCGAGGGCATGTTGCATTACTAAAAGTTATTAATAAAATGAGCACATTCATTAACAACGCAGATTTTTTTTCAGTATTTAGTATAAATGATTAAACTAATATTGATTACCTTCATGAGCTACTCATGCTTAAAATTTTCTTGTTCTTGAAAATGGAGGCTTTCGTGCAGTTTTTTTCAGACGTATAAAAATAATCAGTTGTCTCTCTGAGAAATTAGCCCTCTTGGATTTAATTCGCCGTTAGAAGTATAGCGAGACTACGAAAGTGTGTATGTGTCCTCATGTTTTACTCCAAGACTATTAAGCATTACTGGCTACTATCTCGGTTTCGAGTCTAAACCTTACGTGTTTGTACACAGGCAAACACGTTGCTACTGTGTTATTAGATAGAACGTGTGTATCAGTAATTTGATGAATGGGTAGGATGCACATTCTTCAGTGCTTACTAAATAGCCTATTCATTTGTAAAGGACAAGGTTCGAAAACTTAGTCGAGTCTTCTAAATAACACTGATTGCAACGTTATGTTTCTATTATGGAAACATATCTATATTTTTAACAGAGCTACTGGCTTGACAATGAAGTTAAACAAGCGAAAAGAGACCTCGTAAATATTTGCAGCGTCTATAAATATGTATCACTTTTGAGGCGACCAATTGATGGCTAGCACTTAGTGGTCAGACCTCACCATTACTGTAAATTTGGCGGCAGTTCGATAGGGCTGTCAAGGATGAGAAAACAGACGATCTAATTCGCGGTTACTTCGAGAGTTTCTAGCAGGCTGAAAGGGTAAGATCAGGACCACACAGGCTCTGATGGACGGATTGAAGCTTTTCTGTCTAACATTAAGAAAAGATTATCAATCGCTTTCGCGAATTTCGTCACAGCGCTGAATCCTAAATTCGTGCGTCCTGATCCTTATCCAGTACTTACTGGGCAGAGTTAGGTGGGGATACTTAAACCGCTGCAGTTGAGCCACTTGCAGCAGTTGACATACGTAAGGCGACGTTCCAGGTGGGCATGTTCTCCTATGATGTTTGTAACGCTTTATAACTTTAATGTGAGGTTCTCGTAACAAATCTAGAAAAGCAGCCTGTCTACGTCAAAAGCGTCATTAAGTTAGGGCGGGCCCATGTATATAGGTCATTCCCTAAAGAAGAACTCTTTAGTACAACTACCTACCCACCGAACATATCATCGAAATTCCGTGTTGAAGAGGGACTGTATTAGTCTAACAGACGTCGTCAGATCTAGCGAGCAGTTACTGGCAGTTTTCCATGCTGCTCAAAGATAAGGAGAAAACAGAATTTTACACATCAGATGGCTTGTACCGATTCCAGCGGATGTTTTTTTAAGCTGGCTAATGTTCAGGCGACATTTCAACAGCTAATGAACCTGGTATTGGGTTGCTATATCGATCACTCGTAGTTTACATAAATGATATCGTGTTTTCCAAAAAAAAAAACAAAGAACATTTGCATTGCCCTTAGCAGGTGCTTGCTGTTCTTAGTACTGTGGCTTTGCACATCAGGAAATGCTTGTTCGCTGCGCAAGAATTTGTATGCCTTGATGCTAACGACTATTCACCCAGCAGGGGGATTGCATTCATTAAAACCGAATATTTGGCTTTCGTCTGGGTGGTAAATAGCTTCCATCCGTACCTGTATAAGCAGTACTTTACAATGGCTACCATTGCGGAGCACTGAAGTACCTACAGAGTAAGACACGCCTGCTTAAAGTTGCCCCGATCGGCTCTGAGGTGTTAGAATAGGATTTTGAGGTCCTACACTGGAATGGCGCTCAGCTTTGCCATTTAAGAGACAGGTGGCCAACTTCGTATTGTGTGAAGCCAGGTTCTATCGTTACAGTCTGTGAGATCCCTGAGCAGCCCTCCCACGATCGGGTAAACAAACGGCGTTAGCTTTCTTGCACTTGTTAACCGGGCTTCACAAAGACCATTCAAAGGTTAGTGTCCCGCAACTTCCCGGAGTGCGGAGTATGGATAAGTATTTGGGATTATATTCGCAGTTGCAGGGTGTACTAAAGAACTAATCCAAGCCATAATCGTGGGCCGCCCTCGACTCTTGTTGTCGCGTTTCGCTAAGAGGGATTACCAGATTTTTGTCCCAGGACGTATTCCTTTGGTCCGGGTAATATGTAGACTACTCAATTCCATTCGTTTATTTCCATCCGGGCCGTGCGAGCACTGTTTCTCCTTTAGGATAGCTGCGGGACTGACTTTCGTCATCACGGATCAGGCAAGAAAATCAGACACAAAGCTTCAAAGTCTAGATGAGTGCCGAGAAATAAATCGCGCAATGGACTTATCGATTATGTCGGTCACAGAACCTGTAACCTTCAATATAAGAGATATAAAAAAACGAAGCGCAGGTTGGAGGTATCTCGTCCGGTAGCGTGGTCAAGTGAAACTTACGCGAAAATATGCATTGTTAGAATAAACGAACTTGTAGTTTCGGCCGGCTGAGGTGATAAAATACTTTACAGCAAACAGGTAACTGGTGATAAGACCTCGCCATTGCAGCAAAATGTGCCAAGTTGCTGCTAAATTACATTTTGAGATAAGCATCCTCAGAATTTAACAGAATCACGTCGTAACTACCGTATTAAGCTATGTCATAGCAAAACTGCGTTACTGAAATTGGTAACACTGCAAATTCAATTGCCATGGTTGATAGTGACAGAGCTCCGGCCTCTAATGCTTTATAAATCAATTTTAAGCGTTCTCATATAATTCGAACTATCGGATTGCATTTGACACTTATATTACAAGATATAAAAATCTGGGTAATTAGGCGAAAAACTTCGTTTAAGAATCATTTATGAGATACTAAGACGAGGCAAATCTTTCAAAATCTATGGAATTACTCAAGACAGCTTTTGACCACGTCGAAAACACCAGACCTCATTACCGCACAAGATCCTCACACGTAGTCGGTGTTTAAGCATATTTTATAGCATTGGTATCCCAGTCAAATCGATCTAGCACCCTTAGGTTTAGAATTATACTTCTAAATACGTTTATGGGAGATATTATAACTATGAAATACTTCTAACTCCATTACGCCGCGTTTTCTTATACTGTAAAAGTTAATTATCTACATACGTTGATGTTCTTACATATCTAGTTTTGACATGATTTATAATTGGAGTCGAATTTTAGATTCCTATTGACGAATCATTTTTAAGCACTTGTCAAAGTACTTGCATAGCTTCCAGTGAATCTGAGCTCATCTTAGACAATGGTTAACTGCAATATTGGAGATAAAATTATTTTAAACCTATGATTTAAATATTTCGTAAAAATTTGATTTAAAGGAGGGTTCAATTGCATGTTCGAACTTTGCGGAAAAACCTACGAAGGTGAACATGGCGTAAGCTGAATGGCACAGGTACTAATCACATTTGGTAATTTTTTCCACCATCATTTGAAAATAATCTGACAACCACAAAGCCAGTATTGTGAAAATGATAAATCATCGCGAACTCGATCCCGCATGAAGACTATGCTTTAATCGTTAAAATTAGACTTGACCGTTTGCGAAAACCAAAGGCTTACATACCCATTGAATCCAAAGAGCAGAATAGAACGTCATGTTTCTACAATACGTTACCAAAGCTATAACTATATAGAGGAAGAAATCGATGGGTAAATTAACCCCTGTGTTCGTACCAAGTCACCCCACCAAAGCACCGATCTTTGTAATGAAAGAGAAATTAAGGGCGATCCGTTTTTCAACAGAGTATTCAACAGCTATAAATTATATTCACTGCCTAAGTTAATTAAGAACGATAAAAAAATTCTTCTGGAAGCAAATTATCAATTTATTTTGAGCCGAGTAAAGAATATTTTAACATTAAAGCTTTTGTTATTTTTTATTCTACGTAAGTTCCTTAAGACCGTACAAGTTTATTCACGCAACCAAGCACGCACGTAATAATATCGCTAAAAGACTAAAGTTAACTAGTCTCAGATCAATTTTATTTTTTTACTCAGTCTTATTACTTTGAATGTTTCAATAACTGCACTCATATCGTTTGCTTCATCGAAAATCGCTTTTTTATTTCTGCTAATTACCAGCAAGAATAAAGTCATATCGATTTATACGGCAGCATGGCTAGGACTTCGGGTTACAGCACTTTTCGGATTGACTTTCGACATACAATTCACTTGAACTTTTTTGGCAACCAAAAGAAACTTAACAGGATTTAAATTTAGAAATTGTATACAGCATCTAGCCGACATTTTCTTTGTACTGGGATCCAGCCGTCTAGTGTAACATTTATTGCCACTGTCGATGACCAACCGCTTCGCTCACAGCGTTGATATTCTATTAGGTTCTTTAATTCTCTTAAAGTAATTATTATCTAATTACTTTAATAACGCATTCAGGCTGAGTGGGGAATTTCTAAGATATTATCTATCTTAGAAATTAATTCACTGTCACGCCACAGGTAGTTTCTAGTGCTACAGTAGCTATGTCGCTACATTGCGTTATTGTTGATACTCCATTTTGCATGCTGTAGTTGCTTTACAAGCCGTAAGTTTGTAGAATTGTCCCGTTCGTTAGTTATGGTCACCATCGTTGTATGGTTATAGTTATCCCACTATCCTATTAAATTCGACATACTGGCGTCCCGTGTTTAACGACTAACTATGTCTATAACTCTGCCTACTCTTTCCTCTCCCATCTACATAGGGTTGTAAATCTTTGTCGGTTTATAAATCGGACATTATGTTTGCAACTAACTAAAATCGCCCGATTTATAATAGCATATTGAAACCTATTAAACTAATGCTTTTGTATGTGTTACACGAATTTAAATCCAAGCAAGAACAGTCTTTATTTGCTTTTCTTACAGGTTTTGCAAGTAAGAATGATACTGACCAGCGATAGAACTACAGAAAAGTTTGGCGACTTACAGTCGTGTCATATCTACGCTAAATAATCCGAAGCAGACGAAAGGCGCCACGCAAACACTCTCACCCGAGCCAAACACACGCTTGCGTTTGGCACGTTTCTTAGGTTCGATAATTTGATGAC